TTATTTGGGAAGGAACTGTGCATGCACCATGTTGGGAGGACGAAGCCGTTCAGAATACCATTTGCTGCATAGTGCCCGTTTAAACATGTTCATGATTAGTTTCAGTGTAGGACTCGCAGAAGTGACAGTTAGTTAATGCTTTTGATTGAAATGTTTTATGTTTATCTTCAGGATAAAGCCCTTCGTCTACGTAATTCAGACAAGTGTTTGACAGCTGGAGAAAATTCAACACTTCTTGTGAAAACGTGTGACGATACTATGAATCAAAGATGAATGTTTGAGAAATCCAAGTTTCAGCTTCACAACACGTAACACATAACGGGACTTCATGTTTTGCTCATTGGCGTGAAGCGTTTTGTGAATGTGATTGCATAGTTCAAATAAGCGCGATAGTGTACTGCTGTATTTACATATATTGTCATGTGGCGAAATTGATTAGGTGCTGCTGTGACCGCATTTGTATCGCAGCGACAGGAGATTCACACTGTTCTATAATCAACTTGTTACTGATGCGTCAGATAAGGAACGTCCTGTATATGCCCGACCTCAAAGCTTAAAGGCCTCGAATGTTGTAATGCAGATCAAACCTCCTTTAGACAGAGTCGAATGGCGTTCACTGAACTCGCGCAGTCAAGATGGCCAGATTGTACATTGAGAAAACAAGATCGGTCAAAAGATTCATTGGTCTTCATATTTTGGACCAGAGATTTGGAGAATGTCATTAAATATATAAAGGGAGTTAACTTTTTCCGGTCAGCCAACATCACTTCTCAAGTTACAAGAAGATCAGTGGTATGATCATCATTCTGTGCCTGTCCTATTGTGCAGGTTGTATTCCTGGTGCTAACAGGTAAATTTTGCTATCTCTGTCTTTACAGTTATCACCACTACTCGTGCATTATCACCTTTTACCACTCTTTTTGTAATGCCATAGTGATGTATATATGGATATGTATTGATACCTCAACACAACTTTTTTTAGAATACAGCTGTTTATTGCATTACATTCCTTTGTGGTTTGTTTCACTCTAGTATTTGCTCAGACTGATTCCTGGTTATCTGGTTTGCTTCACCTTGGGAATCACACGTAAGGAGAGAGCGGTGTGTTATGATAGACAATGTCAGTTCTTGTGATGAAACCTTTCTGCGTTCTACTGTCTTGGCTTTAACACAGTTCTAGGGTTACCGATGACATGTGTCAAACACTGCTCTTTAACATGGTTGACACATGTCATCGTATCTCAATTGTGTGGATCTACGTTCCTGCTGTTAATCACTGGATTGTCTGATTATTAGGCTATTTATTATGAAAGCCTTATGCTGCCACTTTTGTAGCATAAAATATACTCAGCAGCAAAAATAAGTCAGTATGAATTCAAAATTAGATAGGCCCTGTAATTAAATCATTACAGAAATGGACATAATAAGCGGATCAAAAATGTGTACAATATCTTGACACATCAATTAAAAACATCAAATTCAAGACATTACGTGAACGTTTGCAGTCCATTCAGACTCTTGACTTCAGCATCTAGTGTGACCACCACGAGCGGCAATAACTGCAGCACAGCGTCTATGCATGGAGTGCACCAATCAATTGATGAAGGCCATTGGCACCTGGAACCACACTCTGAGAAAGGCCTGGAACAATAAATCGGCTGTGTTCGGCCTTGGTATGACATTATTCAGTCTCCTCTGAAATCATCCCAAAGGTGTTTATTTGGAATTAAAATAAGACTAGGGGCTGGCCACTGCATAATGTTGACACTGTTCTGCTGTAGGAAGTCCCGTGTAGCTCTGGAGGTATCGGCCCGGGAGTAACGCTGACCACGTCGTCGCCATATTCTTGTTCTGCCATCTGCAGTTGATACGCAGTACCGACTCTCATCTGTGAACAGAACAGTTCTCCATTGCCTGTATCGCCAATTTTGGTGTTGTAGGGCAAACTGTAGACGTTCACTCCGATGACGAGGGGTGAGGATAGATCCACGGTAAGGTATAAGGCAATGGAGGTTCCCGCTGTTAAGATGTCGGCGTACTGTATCAGTACTGATTGGTCTTCCGTGTGTTCCCACTGTCTGGCGTGCTGTTTCGGATGCCCGCATGAAGGGATTCTGTACACGCTGTTGCACAACATGGTGGTCTTGTCATCTTGTGGTCACCCTTGGTCTGCCAGTGCGGTGGCGATCATTTGTGTTAGTGGTGGCCCGGAAACGTCGCTGCAGCCTGTAGACGGTCCGAACGTTGACCTGGAAGTGATTGGCAACAGCTTGTGCAGTGTGGCCAGTTTCAAGTCTTCCTATCGCCTGGCTTCTCTGAGCTGTCAAAACATTAAGTGAGCATACAGATATCCGTTTCTGCGAAGGAAAATTCCAAGTTTCTTTTGCTGCTTCGTATATGTAAAGTTGCTTCAACTACTAGTTCATTGCTTCTATTATTTTCTCGTTACTTCGATTATTTTCTCGTTGTTTCAACTATATTTTCGTTATTTCAACTATTTTCTTTCTGCTTAGAATTATGTTTTCTCGTTTCATTTTCTTTTTCTAAAACTTGAATTTGAAGTATTTAACGTGGCTTCAAGTTTCCTTCAATAGCTTGAAATTTCAAGTATTTGCTCGATGCTCGAGTATGTTCTCATTACTTCGAGATTTGAAAAGTTGAAGAAACGAGAAAATACTTACAATAACAAAAAAACTTGAAGCAACGAGAAACTACTCGAAGCAAGGAGAAATTGATCCATGCAACAAAAACTATACTTGAAGTAACGAAAAAGTACTCGTGGAAACGAGTAAATATTAGAAATTTCAAATTTTTTAACGAAACATGAATTAACGAGAAAAGTCTTGAAATTTTAAGTCTTTGAAAGGAACTTGAAGGAACGAAAAAATATTTGAAATGACGATAAATACTCCCAAGCACCGATAAAATGATCGAAGCATCTAGAAATGTCGCTGAAGAAATATGTTATGCTACAAAATTGGCAGCATAAGGCTTTCGTATTTTATTGACTACATACTCAATTTAATTATATTTATTTTGTATACTTGTTTTTGTGTCAACAGCAGTAGCACTAGAGAACATCTGTTCAAGTCAACCGTAAACATATTTCAACACCAGTATGTAAATCATGACTGTACAGCTGAGGTTTTTCAACTGCTGCTCCATTTAACCTGAAAAGAGGTTGCGAGGTAACCTTGTGGTTAAAGCGTTGGTTAGTCACACCAAACACCCAGGCTCTATTCCCCACATGTACACCACCTATAAAGCCAATTTCTGGTGTCACCAAGATATTTCTGGAATATTGTTACAAGCGGACTAAAACTAAACTCACACACTCGCTTTAAGTTATCCGCCCCTGACGAGAGAAGACGTGTGTGCGATCGTCTCCGAAAACTTCATCAAGAATCGAATCGAATCAAAGTAATTTCAAGCCATCCGTCGGAAATATTCACACTAAAAGGCGATATTATTTAATAGATCACTGAACTTCTACATTCTGTCGCAAAATTTGAGAAATTAACTTTATTCACAACATTGATAGAAAATGTGTGAGAGACTCGAAGCCATGGACTATGTTGAAAGCGTCATGTCTCAACAAAGTGTAATCGTAACAAGTATCAATGAGTGTGAACCCTCGGCCCCGAAAAACCAAAAAGTTATTGACGATGGCGGGTGCTGTGATACAAACAAATCGCATACTGCACAGGAACAATCTCACGGTGAGAAAACTGATTCAACTTGCCAAACCAAAGTAAGTGAAAATATGTTTTCCAAAATGTTCGATGCTGTATCCACACTTACGTCTGAAATGCGAGATATGAATAAATGTCTATCTCAACGCATAAACTCTCTCAAAAACTCGTTGGAGGAAAAGATATGTGAAAAATTTCGACAAATAGCCCGTGATGTGATAGACGAAGAAATTAAAGCTGTGAAGGATGATTTTCAAAGTAAATGTGAAAGACTCAATGAACAAATATCTACGTTGGAGAAAGGATGTGAAGAAATGAAAACTACGTATGCAAATGCGGCGAAGGTGAATTCTTCCGGTGTAAATATTGTGATAAAGAATTTGCCAAAATCAGCGAGTGAAGAAACTGACGCTAACGTGATTTTACAAAAGGTGAATTCATTGATCTGTGACGAACTCAAGCTACGGATGTCCGTGCTTCTCGTGCTGTGAGGAAAGGTGCAAATCAACACAGACCAGGTATTGTAATAGCGACGCTGGACAATAAACACGCTGTGAGTAAAGTATTCAAGGTAAAGAAATCATTAAAAGACATTAAATGCTACGAGAAAGTGTACATCGAGAATGAACTTTCAAAAGAGACAAGAGACACTCAGTCATCCATGAGAACTATGTTAAAGCATTTGGGTAAATCCAATGACTTTCACATTCGAGGTACAAAGCTTGTAGCAAACAAGACATAGGACCGTGTGTGGCGTGTTTGTTTTCGGAATTGTCGTGGATGGTCACTCCATGACAATGAAAGTTCAGATTTTAGATCCTTTGCTGTTTTTTCAGGAGGTTATGATATTATAGCCTTATGTGAAACTTTTTTAAGAGGAAAAGATAGTTTAGTTTTAGATGGTTTTACTTACTTTGGGCATAATAGGACATCTCTGCATAAACGTTCTAAGCGTGGTTCAGGCGGAGTCGGCGTACTTGTAAGAAATTCTATCCTTGAACACTTTTCTTGTAAAATAGTTGATAATTCAGTAGATGATATCGTCTGGCTAGAGTTTGAATCCTGTCATGATAGCAGCTGCTCTGTGTATGTCTGTGTATGTTACCTCCCGCCAAATGGTTCTTCACGTAAATTGGATCCTGAAGAGTTTTTTAGCCGGTTACTTGGCCAAGTTTATGAGTACCAATCCAAGGGTATTGTTCAAATCTGTGGTGATTTTAACGCAAGGACGGGTGATCGTGATGACTTTGTACATGGTGTGGACTCAGTACCTACACGTGACGTCATAGATAATACCGTCAACTTGTACGGTGAACTACTGATAGACTTTCTGGTAGACATAAACTTCAGTATGCTGAACGGTCGATATGAGACTGGGAACAACTTTACTTATATCAGTCCACAGGGACGTTCAGTTGTGGATTATGTGTTGGTGCCCCACGAGCAAATCCCCTTAATTTCAGACTTTCAAGTGTTACCAATATCGTCGATAATTGATCAATACAATGCTGATGTTCCGTGCTCTCTCCCGGACCACGCCATACTGCAGTATACTCTTGACCTGTCAGGATTTGTGACGCCACATGATGATGTCGCCCCAGAGAGCAGTGATGTCACCAGCAGTACAAAATGGTACAGTTGTAAGCATATCCCTAAAGACTTCCTAAACAATGACTCCTCTGTACTTCTTATCTCTCAAACAATCGACAGAATCCAGAAAACTGTTTACAATGCAAACGAAATCGACCATGCGTACGATGACTTTGTCGACCTGATACATCAGGAGATGGAAGACAAGTTGCCTGTTCTCAAGAAGAATTCTGGACCCGTACCTAAGAAGTCGTTCAAGAAGCCGTACTGGTGTAATGAACTGCAAATTCAGTGGGATAAGACGTCACGGTGTGAACGGGAGTGGCTACATAGTAAAGCCGGTGTGTGTGTGAAGGCGAGATTGAAGCAGAAATACTGTGATGAAAGACGAAAGTTTGACTGATTGAACCAAAAATTAAAGCGGCAACACCAAAAGCAAAAACAGTTCAACCTCCTGGATAAACTGAATCAAGCCGATGCTGACTTCTGGAAAATAATCGGCAATCTTGGAATCGCAAATGAGAGAAAACAGAAACTTCCTATGGAGGTGAAACTGGAAGACGGTACTGTCGTCAGTGACGTGCATTCTGTGCTGAGCAAATGGGAAAGTGACTTTAAGAGGCTGTATTCCGGAGCAGACGGCGACGACTACGACAACCGTTATCTAGGTGAGGTGAAGCGTGAGGTTGAACTATTAACTAACGGTAATGCTGCGCGGCACGAGGAGAGCGCTCTCAACGCACCGATCTCACGTGAAGAAGTGCGCAGAGCTGTGCACCGGGCGAAGAATGGTAAGGCAGAGGGTGTAGACAATATCAAAGCTGAAGTTCTTAAAAACGACGCCTGTATCGAGATACTGTATAACCTTTTCACCAAATGTTTTGATAGTGGCATCACTCCAAGTGCATGGAAACAGTCGATCATTAACCCTTTAGTGAAAAGTGACACCGATGTGCGTTCACCTCGAACCTATAGAGGGATCTCCCTAATATCTGTACCCTGCAAGATCTATTGTGATGTCCTCAATCATCGTGTCTCATCTTGGCTGGACTCTAGTAACATCTTGTCAGATTCTCAAAACGGATTTCGCAGACAGCGAAGCTGCTTTGATCACATATACAGTTTGTACACACTGCTGAAGACTAGGCTGGATTGTAAGCAATCAACTTATACTTGTTTTATCGACCTTAGAAAGGCTTTCGATAATGTGGACAGGAATTGCTTATGGTTGAAGCTGCTACGTGCAGGGATCAACGGGAAGATGTTCTCTACCATACAGTCTCTCTACCATAAAACCACTAGTGCAGTACGTGTCAATAACTTTATGACGTCATTCTTTCAAGTGTCAACGGGGGTGAGGCAAGGCTGCACCCTGTCCCCCACTCTGTTCTCCCTCTACATCCATGACCTGGCGGAGGAGATTACCAACCTCAATGACGGTGTATCTGTAGACGAACTCTGTGTCTCCATATTACTGTATGCAGACGATATAGTTCTATTAGCCCCAAGTGAAGACAAACTACAGCGAATGTTGGACGTGGTGACACGGTGGTGTTCTAGATGGCGTCTGAGTATTAACACGGATAAGACAAAGGTTGTGCACTTCAGACGGGTTAACATTGATATATCTAATTATCAGTTTCGATGCTGCAACACGGCCTTATCATACAGTGATTGTTACAAGTACTTAGGACTGTGGTTTGAGGAACACCTTGATAAACAGTTCACAGTAAAGGAGATCGCAAAAAGTGCGAGCCGTGCTCTGTCTCTACTCATCACTAAATATAGACAATGTGGTGATATGGCATATGATGTGTTCACAAAACTCTATGAATCAACAGTGCAGCCTATCTTACTCTACTGTGCACCTATTTGGGGACTATATGGACAGCGTGAAATAAGTAACATACAAAACAGAGCTGGTCGTTTCTTCCTGGGTGTACCTCGTAACACGTCTAACTGTGCTGTTCAGGGTGAACTTGGTTGGAGGACTTGTCTCACTAAACAGCGGATAGAGAGTTTCCGTTGTTTTGTCAAATTGTATCTAATGTCAGAGGACAGACTTACGAATAAGGTATTTAGGTGGTCCATGAATCGAAAAGGTTCTTTTGCTTTTAACCCTGTTAAATTGGGTAGACAGTTGCTGTTGTATGATACTTTGTTATCGCCGACTTCTGGTATCAATTCCAAAATATCAGTCATTAAACAACGTTTGTGTAGATTAGATGAGGAAAAGTGGTTTTCAGAGCTTTGGGACGACAAAAGCAAGGTTAACGGTAAAGTTACGCACTTACAGGTTGTTTAAAAAAGATTGTAGACCAGAACTGTATGTAAGATATATTATGTCTAAACATAGGAGAAGTAATCTAAGTAAATTACGCTGTGGTATCTTACCTCTTAATATTGAAAATGGACGTTATAGCAAACCCCCCCCACACCCATAAATCAAAGATTATGCCCCTTTTGTGACTCTGTAGAGTCTGAAGCCCATTTTCTTTTAAATTGTGCTTTTTACCATGATCTTAAAAGTAACTTTATAGACGAATTTAGTTTTAGCCCAGATGATAGTGATCATCCGAAATTTATTATGATAATGAATACTACTGAAATCAAGGTTCTTAAACTTTTAGCTGATGCTATTAACGATATGTTCCGTAGAAGGCAGTTACATTCTTAATATATTTTACCAATGTACTGTTTTCTGTATGTCATGAATACAATCGTCCAGATTGTATATTGTACATTTTTTAGTTAAATTATTTTAGTAGTGTCTCGTAAGCCAATGTTATGGCTGGGTGATATGTTTTATCTAGATATATGAAATATTGTTTTATCTGTAACATATCACGTGACACTTTAATAAAATATTTCTGTCTGTCTGTCTGTCTTTAACCTGAAACCCGGGTTGCTGCAGCTTCATTTGAAAGGCAGCCCTTTTAAGAACACTTTGTTCAAACGACACGCGCGCCGACGTGTGTGTGTGTCTTTGTGTGCTTCTTGTTGCATTTGTATGAGTTGGGAGTATTTAAGATAAAAGTCATCAATGCAGTAAAAACTGATTATTTTCTGACTAACATAGAAGTAGCGAATGAAGTGACCAATATGAAGTGAAGTGTGCCTCAGTCACCATGACCTGCTGCAACAAACGATTTGGGAGAAAGTTTGCAACAGTATCTATTCACCTTGACTTATTTGTAGTAAAGTATCTTGAAACAAATGATCATTTTGATCTTCAGAAGGTTATATGGATCAAACACTCCACACGGAAGGTCGTTCTTTTTCAAGGTGTATATTGAAGGAAGACATTGCGTACCCTCATATGTTTTGCGTCTCAGTATATACACAAAAGGGGGTAATGCTGTAAGCTGTGTATCTCACACACACCCACTTTAATCGTTATCTAACTTGTAATTAATGAAGGTATAATAATTGAATAGATATGTTAAACTTAAATATTTTTTCTCGAATCATAATTTAAGTTTGTCTACTATGTTTGTATCTGTTTATATCTGTAACGCATGACAATTGACTATAATCTGTCTTTATTATCACCAGGGTCATAATATATCACTCAAGCATAATGACACTACTTTCTTTGTAAATATATTAGCATAACGTACAATTATCAATATTCCAAGTTTTATAAACGCTGATTGCTTAACAGTAATTTGTCATCAACTTCGGCCATCTCACAAATATTATGCTCCCGGCAGGACAAGCAGGCATCCGGTGTATTTGAGCATGTGCCTGCATACTTGTTGACCTTTATCGAGTAGAAAATCATGTCAATGTTTCCAAGAGAGGAATACTTCCTAAATACAAACACAGTCGATCGTCGTTAGTGTGCTTTTTCAAAAGTTTATTTATAATTAGAACCCCTTTGGTCTAGAAAAGTTGGATCTTTTCATGTTTCATATTTCTGAAGTTTACATATAGATAATGGACGTATTTCAACTTCTTCTTTTTAAAATTTTGTTTCTTTCTCCTCCTTGTGTCCAAAAGAATTTATAATTTATACATGTGTAGGACACGTGTGTGGAATAGTATGTAGGACTTGACAACAACCAAGGCGAGTCTTTCACCTGGTAACACAAATTAAATACCGTTACCAACGACGGTGCACGAAGCAGCACTAATAGTATAGAAATTCAGTAAGCTCGCCTTTATGATGAAAAAAACATCTGCTCCACGTATTTGTTCATGTTCTGCTTATTATGGCTGTAATCCATCTCTACATTCACAACAGCACAGCTTCCTGTAATATGGATTTCGTGTAGCCCACATGGTGACATCCCTGGTATTGACTATGCGGAACGCAGTGCATATCACAGAAAGCAAACAAACACAATATGAGGCGATTGAGGTTTCGTGTGATCAAGGCTCTTGTCTTATGTACGTTGTTGTTGTTGTTACTGTATAAAACCTGCTCGTTGATACAATCTGTCGACAAGCAACTATCAAGTGATCACATAGCAGGATCTATATTTGAAAAGGGTGTCTCCAAAGGTGCTGTTGGAGATGAACAGTTTGTTTTTCAACATTTCTTTAAAACGTTATTAAAAACACATTATGAGTTGGATGCTCGTGGTAAAAATATTACTAATGTTGCTGAGTCTGTTGTAATGAGGAGGCATCGCAATGACACAGCAGGACAGCTCAAGGGACAAGAAAATTTAGAGATTCTGGGAAAAGGTTACCAAAACGAGCTGCAAATGAGACGGAAACAAGGGCGCCTGGACGAGACGAAGAACCACCATGGCCGACACACACAGAACACATACAGTGTGGAGTATTATGTGGAGGAGTACGGAGGAGAGGACAGTAATGTAACATATCCCCCGTTTGTGGAGTACAGTCCAGAGGATGGTCCAGGTAAGACAAGGGATCTTACTGCATCTGTTTCATGCTGATGGCTGCTCGTCTGTTGTTCATACACCACACACAATGACTGTATTACACAAATTTACTAACGTCAGGAAATACTGGTTTCATCCGGCGGTCATATGAACAACGTTTTAAATCTACGTATCATCTGGCCGTCAGATTTACACACGTTTAACTCATTAAGCCCGAGAGCCCCATCACTACTCAACACCTGGAAGCCCTCGCTGATTCCCCACTCTCTGTGCCGAGACTAATTAGTGCCAGTCACACCTGATTTCCCTGGCAGGTTTCGGGGATCACAGGAAACTGTCTAGTCGTACAAACAAGTCCTGATTGTTTAATTGTGTCGTAAAGATATATGTTGAAAAAAATCAGGTGTGAATGCATGTCGTGTATTGCAAGCTTTGTGTAATTTCATTGCAAGTTTCTCTTGTAGACCTTTTGTCGGCTTGTACATTTATATTTTATCACAATATGCATACACATGTATTCTTTGTATGTAACAGATGAGACACACGTTAACAAATTCTCTCTCTTATGTCATTGTGTGAGGTTTAAATTTACAAAACATCTATGACAATGACATACTGTAAAGAAGAATTTACTTTCATACTTTATAATCTTCGACGAAAATAGCGGTTTTGCCGATACATTTCAAGCGTGTACGAATTATTTTAATGAAAGTACTATAACGCTAGTCTGTGACTAGCACAAAGCACATTCATAGCATTGCACTTTATTTCATACAGATTTAATGCAGAAAACATACGTGACCATACAAACATACATATACAAAATGTAAACTATATATTCCTTGCATAGACATAAAACAAAGAATCACGTGATAGGGCGTCATCAAATTTCCCGAATAGAACGTTCGGTATCTCAACTGTTCAATGAAGTGGCTGGTCATATGTTATCTGCGACCAATCGTATCATGAGATACCTGTCACAGAGGAAAGGACAGGTGATGGGGCGTGGGCGAAATTTCTGAAGAGCACGTTTGGTCACTCAGCAGCTTGGATAGAGATTGGTTATTGGCTATACTGTTGACCAGTCGATATGCTGGGTTTCGGCTTTATCAACTCAAGCTATCATGTAACAGTTTGTGTATTGTAAACATACACACTGGTAACAATGTATGAAATATACACATAAGACAAATAGGAGTAGATAGTCACTTTTGGCGAGTTTATTTGTCCTCGTTTTAGTGTTTTTCGTTAAGTAAAACAAAGCGATTGAAATCCAACCACTGAGTAGAGGTAGCATTTATTTTCATATACATTTTATGCACAAAACTAGTACATAAAACATAATGGTTTGCTGTATATGTAAATATAATCTTCACCATGATACGAATGACTATCCAAACTAGAGTACACGCATTACAGAATTCACGAGGTGACACTATAATGAATTATTATAGTGCATAATCTTGCAGTTGACACGCCTACCCCCAATATTTATGAAGGTGGGCGTACCTATATCTTTACTGAATGCAAACGAGGTTCATAAGATTACAGATGTGCATGCATGTACAAACATCACAGAGAGAGGCGTGACTCCATAAAGCAAGATGTCCAATGATATAAGAGCGCATCTGTTTATTTTACACTTGTCACGGGACAAACGTTTCAACAAGGACGTAACTACATATGCATTCTACCGGAGTCTGTTATTTCAAGGTCGAAAGAGGCGTTCAATTATCTCATTACTGTAATCTGCTTGAATGATTATACGCATGTGTATCGATACCGTGACTGATATACTGTCCAGCTTTTATTGACGATCGATCAATAGAGACTGAGTTGATTGATACACGTGATAATTGCACCGGATTTGATAATTACACAGATAAAATACAAACGTGTTACAGAATGCTCATGTAAAATGCATAGAAAACTGACAATTCAAATCAACATGAAACTTTCAACAGCTTGAACAAAAATACCTTTGTATGGCTTACATGTAATAACTTATGATATTACTTCTGTCCATGTGTGACAATATTTTGAATTACCAACTTACTGTCTTTTGTAACAAACGTAGTAAAACATTTCATTATTGTAAACACACTGACATGTATATATGTATTCGATGCAAAGACGCGACTTATCACTTTATATTTGCTTAGGTAACATTACGAACTTTAGATTATGGAAAATAACTAGTTACAATTCAGTAAGCTTTAAATTAGTAACTTTACTTATGTCTAATCTATTCGAGCTTGGATGTATAATGATTGGTGTTTGTACATTGTGTTTCCTTATATGAAACATGACAACATAATATACACAATGAATGTTCATTTCATACATGCATAAATAGAGTACTCTGCTACATAGTTGTGATTAATGATCACGACCTTTCTTTAAAGAGCGTCACACAACCCATCCTCCGAAAGTGTGTGTCGAGGTTACAATGTGTGATTTTGGTTTGGTATGACTATTAACTCCGCATTCCAGCTATATGGCGGAAACCTGTAAATAATCGAGTCTGGACCAAACAATCTAGTCCTGCATGAGCATCGATCTACGCAAGTCGAATACGATGACATGTGTCAACCAAGTCGGCGAGCCTGACGTAACATACACGACACTGAAACATATTGTGTCGGAAAGAGAATATTTGACCAAATGGGGGCAACTAACTAGGCACATAACGAAACTGTGCATACAAGACTTTTAAATCTAAATTTATCAAACCTGTGTAGACACATAAGGATTTAAACTCAGATATTAGTGACATGTATCCAACATGCATGCACGTGCCACGTTCCGTGACGTCAGTGGGTTCGTCATTGAGACGTGCAGTACGTTGTTGCACGTGCATTCCGGGAAAGAGAAACAGAGCAAATGAATGCCACACAATACTGTCACTTTGGAAAGCTCAACCCCTGCCTTTGCGATCGTTCAAAAACTTAAACGGCTATTGAAACGCATAGCATGCCAAGGCTCACGTCTGCACAACGTCATGAGGCCATTGGGATGGTCCGTGGGGGAATATCTCAACGACAAGTGGCTGCACATTTCCACTGCCACCGGAACACCATTTCTGCACTGGTGAGACGCTACCAGAACACAAATGACGTCATCCATCGGCCACGTTTCGACGTCCACGTGTAACAACGCCAAAACAGGACAGATGGATAAGGGTGACCCATCTCCGCCACAGGTATCAGACTGCAGTGATGACTGCCCAGACTATCCCAGGACTTCAACGTATCCACCCCAACACAATTCGACAAAGTTTACGTCATGACGGGATCAGACCACGACGTCCCACCATACGGCCTTTCCTGACACAACGTCATCGACAAGCTCGACGAATGTGGTGCCGAAATCATGCCCGCAGACCCTTGTTTTGGTGGAGAAAGGTGGTTTTTACAGATGAGTCCAGGTTTAACATTTCCCATAGTGATGGACGTCAACGTGCCTATAGACGCGCGTGGAAGAACGTTATGCACAGGCCTGTGTCTTGGAGAGGAATCGCTTTGGTGGTGGTTCCGTGATGATTTGGGGTGGAATAACAGCAAGCCAAAGAAGTCCTTTTAATTGTTCAGGCCAACTTAAGTGGTGTGGGCTACAGGGATCAGATTCTTCGACCGGTGGCAATTTCATTTCTGCAACGTCATGGCCCCGGGTTAACATTCCAACAGGACAATGCCCGCCCTCGTACGGCAAGGGTTGCTATGGATTTCTTGCAACACCACAACGTTGACTTACTGCCTTGGCCTGCAAATTCACCGGATCTCTCCCCGATAGAGCATGTTTGGGGCGAGATGGATCGACGTCTACGTCGTCTTCCTCATCCGCCAGATAACGTCCTTGACCTTGCAACAGAACTTGAGAGAATCTGGCGTGACATCCCACAAGCCTTCCTTGCACGTTTGATAGGCTCTATGCGTCGTCGATGCACTGCTGTTCTAAATGCCGATGGTGGACATAGCCGTTATTGAGCTTGTGACATGGTCGTTTGACCCCTGTCCCGCTTGTGGACTCGTGACGTCATTGTGATTGACTTTTCAATTGAAATTCTCCCGACTTCTTATGGTCTCATGATCCCTCCATTAAAGTTTATATGTATCTTTGACATTGTTATCGTACTTATCAACTGGGATAATATTTTGACAATGCACAGTTTCTTTGTGTGGCTAGTATATATGGTACCGGGTCATTTCACCCAAAACACGTTCACCCCAGCACAGTTTCACCCCAACTCGTTTCACCAGGGTTGTTTCACCCCGTCAGGTTCACCCCGTTTAGAGATTGTTTCACCCAAGCAACAATTATTATCATTATCAACCATACGATTGTTTCAACATTTTATTCATCTATTTATAGTGTCGAAACAGCATATTCAGATTGTCGAACACTTGGTACGACTAAGTATTACCTGTCTTGATGGCGATGACAAGTTGCACACTGCAGTCCATCTTGACGACCGTTTTACTCTAAACTGGTTTTATGAAAACTGTACATAACAGGTGAGGTGAAACGGGATTTAACGTCGTACTTAAGGTTATTTTGCTCATATGACGACGTGCATGCGTGTGTATGTGTATGTGTGGCTGCTTGTACTAGCCCAGACGTAAGCTTCTTTATTTTCGTGAGTGCGACGTTTCGATACAGATTCTTGTACCGTTGTCAAGCAATGTTATCCATAAAACTTGTTATATATTGTACGTCTCAACTTCTAAAATGCCACTCAAACAAGTCAGACGTAAGCTGTTTTTATAGTGCTAGCTCACTGTGATACAATGCCGCCAGGCGCGTAGCAAGTCAATCTAATTAGTGTAAGCCCGATAGGTTGCAAAGCTATATATTTAGATAGTTTTGTGTGTTTGCCCAACTTTTTTAGCAGCAATCATGAGTACGCCCAGGTTTTTTTTAATGGTAGCTACGGCCCTGGCCGCAGTTAAGCATGAATACCCCATTCAGACACCAGTACTTGTTGTACCCATTACTGACATTAATAAATTGATATTTCTGCTCGATCCTACTCTCATGCAGCTGCTTCGTTATAAAAACATATCCCCAACCCCCCACCCCCCTCAGTGATGTAGAACTAGCCCTATATAAATATCCTTCTTATTATATTTGGGTATATATGAACAGCACTTCTGTTTTCTTCTGTGGTGACAGCCATGATATATTTATTATAGCCCAAAGTGAATACATTCACAGATGGTCGGTAAACATTGACCTCAAATTATTACGCCTTATATCAATGAAATCAATCATATATTGACATGAAATACAAACTACAACACTGGTTGAATGAAAAGACAAGTGATAAGATCATTTCTTTATTATCCCCAAGGGAAATAGTTTGGAGTTGGGGGTGAGGTCAATTTTAATTAACTGTTAAAACGTGACATGTTACATTAAAAACGTCATGAATCCTCCGTAAAATATGCAATAGAAAAACAAGTAAAAGTTACAATTTAAAATAAGAGTTGTTTCTTTTTAAGAACACTTGGAGTGAGTGAGTGTGTGCGTCCGTACGCTCAGCTTGCAAGTGAGGGACTGACACCTGATAAAAGGAATCCGTGCAGCGCATGCCTACCTCAAGCATTGTTCAGCAGCCCCGGGCGCTGCCGGAGATTACCGAGTTAAATCCAAATAAATATAGGTATTTAGTAATATAACCTGAGCGAGGCGTTGGCAAGTTTAGTCACATTTAAGCTCCAGCTGTTTCTTTATGTGTGACTGAATGCTCGGATCATAACTGTAGACAACTGTCTCCCTAGGGGAATGGGGAGCTGCGTACATCTACAAGCACACGAAGCAGGAGGAGGGGGAATACAGAGAAGGAAAGAAGAGAAATGGCTTCAATCAACTGGTGAGCGACCGTATCTCTGTGCATCGGCGTCTGCCAGACAGTAGGCTTGAAGAGTACGTATATAAACAAAATCAAAACGAAACTTATTGAAAATTCCTGCTTGTATCCATGTTATCTTTCTGACTATATAAGTAGTCACATTATCACACACGTCATGTAAAGCAAATACGTTATTTGGTTGGACTTTCTTTGTTATATCGAACCTTTTCTATCAGGTGCGCATGTATGTTCACGTTACCAATACTCGGTGTAGATATAAATATATATTACATTTCTGATTACTGTTATAATACAATACACACAATCAAGAACGTCCCAGCTTGCAGACAAGAATTCCAACACCTGACATATTCATAATAATATTATTTTCATTTGATCTTAACATTTCATGTGTAAAATTCTGCAATCGACATCTGATTATATACAATGCTACCCAGAGGTACCAGCTTGCTGACATTAGAGAACGTAAGATATTAATATAAATATGTTCAATTGCTGGCTTTAATATTTTCTAGTGATCTATTAAGACATTATAGAGTTTTCAACGACATTTCATGTGAAAACTTATGTATTGATGACTGCGATTGTCATCTAATTTTATACAATGCTACACAGAGGTCCCAGCTTGCTGAGCTCAGAGAACTTACGATATTAACATAAATACGTATATTCAACTGCTGGCTTGTATTTCTAGTAATCTATTTATTAATATAATTTTCATCGATGTTTTAGCATTCAGCGCCCGCTAAAAATGTTTCATTGTATATATCGACACATTTCAAATCGTCAAGGTTATATTTGTCTTCACAATTTGCCGAAATGAATATTGATTGATAATATTTTGCGATCCAAAATGTAAGTGAGTGAGTGAGTGAGTTTAGGTTTACGCCGAACTCAGCAATATTCCAGCTATATGGCGGTGGTCTGGAAATAATCTTGTCTGGACCAGACAATCCACTGATCAACAGCATGAGCATCGATCTGCGCAACTGGGATACGATGACATGTGTCAACCAAGTCAGCGAGCCTGGCCACCGATCCCGTTAGTCGCCTCTTACGACAAGCATAGTCGTCTTTTGTGGCAAGCATGGGTTGCTGAAGACCTGTTCTACCCTGGATCTTCACGGGTCAAATGTAAGTGTACTTTGTCACTAATGTCTAGGTTTTGTTAGACATGGATATTTAATTTTTGCCGGTACACACATTTCAACAAGAGGTTTCAATATTATGCTATTCAGAAACAAAATAACCCAATCAGTTACTTTAGAAAACAAATAAACATAAACAAATATCCATATCACTTCTTAAAGTCAAAAAGTGTTTTGATGCAAAGAGAAATGTTGGCCATTATTCTTGCTTCAAGCCATAATGAATGCATTCACCAAATACGCAGGCATAACGAGGAGGAGGTTGTAAATTGCTAAGTTACTTTTCTGAAATAGTATCATTGAGGAATGGCATTTAGAACTGATGCACTTAAATGTGAGAATATGTGGATGTAAACTTCTTTATTTTGGTATCCTTCACCGCATGAAAAAGTATGAAACGTCGTGTTACTCACAATAAAGAAGTTGACCGCCATAAAACCTCGCCTTCAGGTATTTCTCCAGGTATATATTTGACAATATACATTGTAGGTGAAGGAATGAAGTGAGTGAGTGAGTGATTTTAGTTTTACGCCGCACTCAGCAATATGTCAGGTATATGGCAGTCTTTAAATAGTCAGGTCTGGACCAGACAATCCAGTGATCAACACAATGCGAATACGATGACATGTGTCAATCAAGTCAGCGAGCCTCACCACCCTATCATGTTAACGTCAATCAAGTCAGCGAGCCTCATCACCCTATCGTGTTAACGTCAATCAAGTCAGCGAGCCTCACCACCCTATTATGTTAACGTCAATCAAGTCAGCGAACCTCACCAACCTATCATGTTAACATGTCCATCCATCCAC